ATTTATTCATTAATTTATTCACTCATTTCATTCATTAAAGCAAGATTTATTGAAAGTCAACAATGTAGAAGGCATTGTGAAATCTTCTCTTTTTCAAATGAGGAAAGCAAGGACGCAAGAGAGAAAGCAATTTGACCAATGTCACGCAACACATCCAAGAAGAGCTTAGACTAAAACCCATTCTTCCAGGCATCATGGAGTGAACAGACTAAAGTGTGCGGTACTGGGCAAGCCACATCCGAAATGCTGCACTCAGTTCTAGCCACCTTCAAGAAGTTATTGATAACAACTGGAACCCAGAATAAAGAATTCAGCACAGTAAGGGAAAATGTGGAAAACACGTCATGTGAGAAGTGGAAGGAAGAAAGCTCTGGTGGAATGAGTTCTTCTGCTGGTGTCCGATGACCTGTTTTCAAGACGTGAATTCAATCATGTGGAGTTGCTACAACTTTAGACAGGTCCCCTGATCTTCCTGAGCCTCCATTCTCTCCTCCACAAATTGGAGATGACAATAACATCACTGCTACTGTCACAGAATTGCAGTGAGAACTATATGTGGTAACGGACAAGGATGATTTATGTAAAGCTGACATAAATGATAGGCATTTATTATCATCATTATTAAAGGTAATGGAGTTAAGAGTGTTTAGCAAAGAGAAAATTGGACCAAACTGAGCCCTGGGATATTTGAGGTACTGTCTCTTACGACAAAAAAAAACAAGAAGAAGAATAAAACTTGCTGGCCATCTATTTCTTAGGCACTTTTCTACGTCCTCCCTGCAAATTCACAACAAAGTAATGCTGCGATTATTGTGATCCCCACTGCACAGATAAGGAAAATGAGGCTTCAGAGAGGTAGAGAAATCTGCCCAAAGCAGCATGGTGAGTAAGTAGAAGAGTCAAGACTGGGACGCAGCGAGAGCACATCCTCTCCTCTCTGCTCCACACTGTCCATCAGTAAATCCTAGAACATAGCACAGCAAGGAGAGCAGATCGAGGAGGGAGACCCTGAACTGGGATCAAACTTGAGTCCACCTAGCTGACTCAAAGCACCGCTACTTTCCACCACTGGGGCAAATGGCGAAGTGTAAGGGATGTGGGCTCTGGAATCAAGCTCCTTGAATTTGCATCTGGGCTCTGCCACTTAGTGGCTGCATGGATGTCAGTCAGCAAGATAATTAATCTCCCTGTCTCCTTTTCCTCATTTGTAACATGGGAATGATAATAGGCCCAATTTTTCACGTCATTATGTGAGAACACATGAGATAATGTATGTTATCTCGTATATGATATGTAATATGATAATGTATGCTTGGAACTGCATGGGATAAATACAAGTATTATTGCTGAACTTTGTCAGAGGGAATAGAACATAGACTTTTGTCCTCAGGTGCAAGATTGGAAGAGAGATTGGACCAGGTGACATTCAGTTTCCTTCCAACCCTCAGATCCTAAGCACACTTTTCTTTCGCCTTCCTCTCTATATATTACCAGGCAAAGGCCTCCTGGAAGCATCCTAGAGATCTGCCAAGGACCTCTCTCAACATTGATTTTGATCAGAGCAAAAAGAATTTGGAAAATAACATCAAAGAACTGGGTACAAAACCTGATTTTTAAAAATAGGCACACTGAAGCCAGTTCTGAGAATTTGCTGGCATAGTTTATACATTTAGGGATTATTTTACCTTTTCTTTTAAACTGATCAAACGTTTATTGCAGTGTCCAAATGGGTGTGGGTTCCAGGAAGCTCAGAATGAGGGAACAAAATCATTTTAGCCAAGACAGCATGCTATCATCACTTGATGGTGGAGATCAAGCCTCACTCACTCAATGAGGAGGGGATGAGTCTTGACAGGAAGTTTTGACTGTGGGAATAAGAACGGGAGTGGTGGCGTTCTTTTCCAAGTTCAATAGAGATCAGATGAAGTTATGGGAAAAATCAAAGCGTTTCTCCTAAGTCTCACACTACTTAGGATTAACATGGCTCTAACTTACTCAGGGAGTGCTTCCTCTTTAAGACGGTAACCACTTTAGGCTTGTTTTTAAAGACAATCATCACAGCAATGGCGGGGGGGTGGGTGGCCACTCTTACAGAATATTGATGAGAAGGTACATGTTTTGGGGGAGGTGATATGGTAATATACATGAACCTCCCCAAATGTATTTTGATCTCAAAAGAAATCATTAAGTTCATGAAGAAATATCAATGTGCATGGTCAATACAGCATTGTATGTGACACTCAAAAACAATGGGAAAAGAAATATTCAGAAATGCAAGGCCAGTGAAATAAATCATGGTTTTTAGTTTAGTTTGCATTTTAGCTTACAGTTTATGGAAATATATTCTAATTTTGCATCCTTTGAATAGAACTCTATTTTATATTTTAATCTTATAGAGCATTTTTGTCAATAGAATACGATTAACATGAAAATTTTTTATTATAAAAGCATAAGGAATTATTTTGTTGAAATGAAGTCAAGAAAAATAAGTTTTATGGACTCAACATATACTCATTTTTGAATTATGCGTCTGAACATTGGTGGTCCATCAACAGAATACCCAGACATGAGCAATAATAACTAAATTCATTTGCTGACTCATATTTTGCTGACTTCCTCCCTTTATTCTACTCCTATTCCTTGGGGTCATAGAAAAGACGTCTAATCTTTACTGTACGTGACAGGTCCTCCAATATTTGAGGAAAGTGATTGTGATCCCCTGAATCTTCTCTTCACCAGGTCTAACTCAGGCTAAGCATATACTCTCCATCCATCATCCATTCAGTCCCCTCACTGTTATTCAAAGTGAGAAGCCTTTATAGAGTACCTACTATGTATTGGGCATTGTGCTGGGCACTGAGCATACTGAAATGAAAACATGTTGCTCCTGCTAGAGAGACATCAGATCCCAGGATTGAAAATCTTGGGCAATCTTTGACATTTGATAGCTTCTCCTTTTAAGTGCAGTGCCAAGAACCAAACAGTATATCCTGGCATAAGAATACTGCTAGACATTACCCTTTTACTCATTCTATTATTAAGCAGCCTTTAACAACAACAACGAAATATTGTCCACTCATGGTGTGTAAGGGGACTGGGGATTCTAAGATGGACAAAATAGAGTCCCTGTCTTTAAGAAGTTCAAGGTCAAATACCGCAGATATAGACTCAAATACAATGTGATAAGTTCAATGACAGAGGCCAGTATATGATGCTATGGGCAGTTTTTCAAGTCACAAATAATTTCATTTTACTCCATATCATCCTTAAGCTACCAACCTATATAGCCAACTTACTTAAATTTGCTGTCATCACTTTCTCACCTCACTGAAATTCCTCAATCCACTGAAATCTAACATCTAGCCCACACTTCACTTACACTGCCCTAACCAAGGTCACCAACGACCTCCTTGCCATAAAGTCAATGGGCACTTTCACTCCTTACCTTAATTTTCACGAACGACACCACATCCTTCCAGTGATTTCTCCAAGTTTCTGGCTAACTCATCTCTGCCTCTTTCATGATTTCCTCTTATTCTGCTCAACTCTTACACCTCTGTCCCATATATGTTTCCCACATATGTGAACCATTAATATGCTTGACAATTGGAACCATAAATACACTGGGTGATTGCAACCATCAATACACTAAATATTGACAAGCCTGTATCTGACCAAGTTATGACATATATATACAATGGCCAACTCAATCTCTCTTAGATGCAGCTCAAGCCCGTTAAACTCAGACTAAACAAATGAACCATTTTCTACTCTAGATGTGTTTCTCCTCCTGTATCTTCTGTCTTAGTGAAGGAAGATGTCTTATACCATCACCTGGATATCACCGTTGATGCTTTAATCTCTTTCATGTGTTCAATCACCAACAACTATCAATTTCTACTCTTAAATATCCACTCTCCACTCTACTGCTGCTATCTTTGCTCAGGCCACCATCTCTTATCTCATGGGTTAATGCACTGGCCCACTGAATTTATCTCCCAGTGTCAGACTGGTCTTATGCTCTTCCAAATGATCCTCCATTAGTGGCTAGAGTGATCATTCAAACATTCAAATCTGAGTATGTCATCCTATTGATTAAAACTTCTTAATGACTTTCACTGCCATGAGGCATAAAAGAGAAAGGTATCTTGAGAAATAACAAGAAATTGGGTTTTGCGGGAGTATAAAGTTCAACAGGAGGATAGTCAAGTTAATAGAAAGAAAAAGCTAAGCACAAACAGAGCTGGAAGTAGGAGGCAGTCAGTGGAGCATTAATCTCCAAGGGCACTAAAACAGGACTGAAATACATCAGAACAGATGCCAGTTAACTCAAGTGCTCATCCAGAACGTATAGAATTGGAGAAAATTAGATTTGTTCCACTTTCGCCCATAAAATAGTGTTCTAGAGTGGAAATAAAAGAATGCTTCTTAGTGATGCGTTCTTCTTTATCTCTGCTTAGAAATTTTGCAGCATGGCACTGACAATTAAATTGTGCAACTGAAGACAGCAACACCAACGCTGTCACTAGCCAGATGACAGTTACTTGGAGCTATTATAGCTGAAATACCGAGAGCTGCTAATGCATGGGGTACTGCTATTGCAGTAGAATCCATTTGTATGTAACTTCTGTCACTAGCAATGAGTGACCAATATCCAGTCTTGAGTAATACGAAAACTGGGAAATACCACACTGATTCTATTCATACAAAAGTCCAAAATAGAGAAACTCACAGTCAGGAAGTTGCTTAGGGCTGTGGGAGGCATAGGGAGCAGGGAGAGGAGAGCTAAGGGTATGGAATCTCTTTTTGAGGTGACGAAAATGTTACCAAATTGACTGTAGTGATGGTTGCACATATCTGTGAATATGCTAAAAACAATTGAACACTTTGAGTGGATTGTATGATATGTGAATTATATTGCAATAAAGTTTTTTTAAGTATTGAGGTAATTCCACATATTTGAAATTAATAAAATTATTTTAATACCTTTTGAAGTGCTGTGTCTTAGATTTCTTACTGTTTTGAAAGGACTTTATAATGTAAACTTTCTTCCCCATTTGATTTCAGAACATTTGTTTGTTGTATTTCATTTTCCTTGGAATGCTAAATCAGTTAAAAGTTTAATTATGATCTTTAGAAAACTATAGAATAAAGTGTCATTTCAAATAGGACATAATTTTCTTTCCTGTTGACTTTTATATCATAAAGAACAAAAAGCAAGTTTAAAATAATGTCAATAATACAGTTGTGGTTTATCTTTAATCTCACTAAATAAATATTGAACAAATACTTTTAAAATGCAGGTTGAAGGAACCCCAAGTTATTAAGCTGCTGCGTGTCCCAAGTGTGCCCTGAACTACAGGTAGATTTTGCTGTTTCTCCCAGGGACAGGGTCACTCCATCTTATAAAAGTGGCTGCTGTGAACACTTTTGAGGCCAGGGTAGAGGAGAGCTGAGGGGAAGAACACGTGAATGGAGAATCAGGCGAGACCCTGCATAACCCCACGGTAAGAATTTGTTACGGACCAACTGTATGAGGAGGACCAAGAAAAGGGAGGGGAGGAAGGAGGAGGAGAGGCAGGGGAGAGCCTGAGTCAGAATACCTGGTTTCCAGTCTCAGCTTCCATTGGTTCCATGGCTCCAGGCAAGTTGCTTTTTTCTTCTGAGCCAGCCCTGTCTGAAATATAATGCAAGCCACACATGGAACTTAAAATTTTTAGTAACAACATTTAAAAAATAAAAAGACAGAGGTCAAATTAATTTTAAATATATTCTATTTAACTTACTATATCCCAAGTCCTATTACTTAACTATCAATTAATAATTATTAATGAGAAATTTTTTCTTACTAATTGTTTGAAATCTGGTTTGTATTTTACATTTTTAGCATATCTCAATTCAGGCTACAGCATTGCTCAGCCCAGATCCGGGCTCTACTTCCTGTCTCCATAAAAAATAAAAGTGGGAGTGCTCTGTAAGTTGTAAGTTTCTTCCCAGCTCCGACATTCTTTGATTCACACTAAGAGATTTAAAATATATCTAAATAAATTCTATACTCCCAAACTCTGTGGTCTCTCAACTCCTCTAAGTCAAAAAAGGAATACATAGTACATGTGGCAAGGGGAGCCTGTGAAGATTATTGTTTCTCATTATCTTTTATCTTTGGCACATTTTAGCTGGGAACACTTCAAATTAGGAATTAGACCCAGCGAAATTTCTTAGCCATGTGGAAGCCGACCCGTAAGCTTTCCCCAATTGCACAGGCACATTACTTATGTTAAGCTTCCCTCTGCTTCTTCAATTCCAGTTTAGCAAAGCACAATGAAAGCTTCTGGAATCAGACACCACATTTTAAAATCTGCCCTTAAAAATCGTTGACCCACATGTCCCCTCTTCTCATTCTCAATCCGTGCGTCCTCCAGCATTCTGCTACAATAGAATCCTCCATATGCGTCTTTATACACCTCTCTGGAAATCAGCAAAACTCTCCCATGTATTCGGCTAAGTAGACGCTTTGCCATTCGAGCCATCCCTGGTCGCTCAAAGGAAGAAAGAGGTTTTGCATAAATCCTCTTCAATTCTGGAATGTTCCCCAAAATTACCTGGCATGAATTGGTCACCTTCTCCCTTATGTTTGATTACCATCTAGTGTTACAACTCCTCAGTGTGACCATAACACTGCATACATTTTCACCTTACCCTGCAGAGGGACTTTTGGGGCCTCTTTTTATCTTGTCTGGAGGCATACACCTCTCTGTCCATGGGACCATCCTGCCATGAAACGAAAATGCAGAGGCAACGTTCACCCATAATTACTGCCAAGAAGCAGGCAGCTTTCAGCCCAAAGGCAGCACCAGTTAAAATTTTCCCTATGGGGCATCATCTCAGCCTTAAATTTGGGAGAACCTACTGGCATATGTCTTGGGTTTAAAAGCTTTTCTAGACTGGAAATGATTTTAGATGTAATTTGGGAAATGTCTCTTATAATAAAGACAACACTTTGGGCACTATATCTTCATCCCATAAACACCTGCTGAACATTTACTCTGTGACTAACTTTGTAGTAGGTCCCAGAGATGCAGAGGTGAATAATCCCTGCCTGTCACAATATCCAAGGGGATGCGAATAGAGGTGTGAATAGGATATTTAACCATAGAGACACTTACTGGTTCCCTCACACACTCAGCAATGACTTCATGTCTCTATATTGAAATATTTGAAGATGCAACAAATGACGTATCTACCCTAGGTAACTACCTCTAAGAAATTTATGATGTGGAGAGCAAGGCAAAAATATACAATCATAACAGGAATAGAAGATAACTTACGAAAGCACCCAAAGAGTATAATTTCCCCAGGGCAGGCAGTACAGTGTAACAGAAAGAACTGTGGATGTACTGGACTTGGTTTGAGGCTCATCTTGACATTAGGCAAATCACATAAGTTCTCTGAACCTGAAATATTCTCACTTGTAAAAAGAAGTGATGATATCTACCATGTTTTTTTCCATGAATGGCATGAGAAATAAATAAGATAGGAAGATAATTTCAGTTGCCAATAAGTGTTTTGAAAGAAAAAAAACCCAACTGGGTGTGTTAAGATTAAGAGTGACTACTTTCTTTGAGGTGTTCAAGTTGGTGATGACAGTGAGTTGACACTGTCAACTTAATAAGCAAATTTGCCTATTATTTTACCCTCAGAATGAGTTCATTTGGGAATAGCCAAAAGAATTGTAATTCAGGATGTGCGTGCCATGGTGAACCATAGACAAATGCAGAAAACAAATGAGGGGAGCTTGCTTTTATAGAGAAAAAGGAGCAGGGAGGGGCTGTTCTAAGAAAGTTCATTGGGGGAAAGTAAGTGGTCAGGGCAGCAACAGCTTCTCATTGGCTGAGCTGCATTGTTTCTCATTGACAGGGCTGCTGCCAGGTTGGGAGGGAAATCTTCCTTCCGTAATAAACTGGTTTTACTTCCTGTCGAAGAAGCAAGTGTATGTCTCTTCCTGTTTCATGTAATCGACTATGTTTGAGCACTCCCCCTACAGGTCTTCCTGACTCCAATTTAGTTAAGATTTCTTTTATTAATTTCCACAACACATAAATGAAGGAGTGGTCGCTACCACGTTAAGATTTTGGGCAAGGGGAGGGTAGTAAGAAGATGGAGGGTGGAGAGAGAGAGTCCCAGGTGGAGGAGAGAGCCAGTGTAAAAGCCCTGATGTGGAAGCAAGCACATCCCATCTGAGGCACAGAACAATGGTTATGTGGCTGGGGAAGGACTGGTAAGGCCAAGAAGAGTCAATATTGATGATACAGACTTTGCCAGAAGCCAGATGATGCAGGGCCTTGTAGGGCCTAGGGAGGGATTTGTATTTTATTCTAGAAGCAAAAGGGAGACAATTGTAGTTTTGAAGCCTCAGAAATCCAACTGGACCACAGGCAGAAACATTAAGACATTTTTCCATGTTTTCTCCTTTTTTTATTACTACTAAATTCTCCCTCTTCATCTGACTAGAATTAAGGCCTGTAGATCTTTATATTCTCAATAAAGACACAAATGCTCATTGGGGGCTTCTAGAAGGATCCTTGGGATCCTGATAAAGAAGGAAAATCATTTCCAGGTGAAAGGCATGGAAGCGTCATAAGGGGAGAGGACTTCCAACACCAGATGCTGCACAGTTCATGGAAAGAATGCAGACTTGGATTTGGGAAGACACGGGTTCAAACCAAGTCCCGGCCAGGTGAAGCTGGGCAAAATCCAAGCCACTCTGAGCACCCTTTCATAAGTCAAAGTAGTCTAGAGGTGCCTACTCCACAGAGCTGTGGAGAGGATTAAAGATGATGGCAAATACGAGGAACAGGCTGGCAATGGCCAGGTTGCCAGACATACCCCGTCAACAAGTCCAAAGGGTGTCTCTGTGTTTTGATTACCATGGCCCACATCTCCCTGTGCCCCTTTAGTCAGTGGGGATCACAGAATGTCAGTGGGGGTCGGTTCAGGACCATAGTGAGGGAAGTCAGGATTCTAGAGCTGGTATTCAGCCATATTAGCTCATCTTTCAGAATGCCTCTAGGACGCCAGCTTCTGCTCTCTCCTCGTCCCTGCTGCCCCCACTGAGTTGGGTTGGGAAAATCTTGGTTTCCCTGGAGGGAGGTAGACACTTACTAACTCCTGCTCTCATCCATTCCCCTCTCCAAAGAGTGGCCAGCCCTCTATTTTGGATCCCTTTCTCTGAGGTAATCCATAAACGCCTATAATTTTCTCTCTGGCCTTTCCCAAATTATCTAATCCAGTTGCCTGATCTAGTTGGTTTGGACAGAAGGTTAAGTGACCTTCTGTTTGTTTCTCTCTAAAAAGCTGTGAATTGGGTTTTTTTTAATAAAATGAAAGGCAGAATTCCACAGGTACGCGTTTTCAATGGAGCATAGAAGTTCAGGCTATTTATTATCAGCCTTCGAATAAGTCAGCTGTTAAAGCCTCGTGTCCTACAACGTCAGCATCAGGTGGAGAGTTAGAGAGCAAACTTGGCATCTCAAACAAGAAAAAATGAAACCCAGAAAATTAACATGAGTTGCCCCAAGGTCATGCAGTTTGTGGAAACAGAACCAAAACTGAAGTTGAGGTTTCCTGTCTTCAAATCCGTTGTTCTTTCCATTACACCTCCCTACTTCTCTATCTTGTGTAAACATAGTAACAAAACAATAAATAAACCCACTTCAAATCCTGTGTGGATTAAATAGTATAATACTTGGCACGTCGTAGCTCCTAATCAGAACTGCAGGAAAACATGGAGAGAGAATGCATGTGATAAAGACTACAAGAAAATAGACTTCTGATATTTCAATAGAAATATTCAAATAACTACACATATTTGGGACCCATCCACTATCCCTGCAGGAAATGTCTTCTGGTGGTTGACTCGTTGCTAAAATGTTCTTGGAGGAAACAAGCAACGACCAATGTCCCATCGGTTAGAATAATCTATTCTTTTTTCCTCATCTTTTCCTGTAGGTTGATAAAGAGAGAAAGAGATGGAAAAGGACACAAGTAAAGGTACACGTTTACCATGGATGGACAGTAAAGGAGATGGTGGGAGAACACAGTCTATTACTGAGGGGAGCCTTAGACCCCATCAATTGCAGATAAATCAAGAGGGAAACACAGCTGAAGGTAGTTCTGCCCATGTGATTTTGAGCTAGATAAAAGAAGGGTTTTAAAAATAGAAGCTTTTATTAAAAATGCAAAAGGATGAAAGATTTAGTGGGGATTAAAGTGATTTATTGTATGGGAGCAGCCCTGGAAGGTGTTTATTTATAGGCAATTATACACATCCCCAACAGGGACAATAACAGCCTGTAAGAGAACATGTCCCACATAGTTTCTCCAGGCCTGATAGTTCCTGAGTGTTCTTTCGAGCACTGCTTTTCTCCTAGGCTAAGCCTGTGGGTGTGATGAGTGACCAGGTAGACCACTGGGGTTTCCAGTGACCCATCCTTCCCTCTGATAACATCTCTGACCCCTTTGGCTGGTTGCTGGCAGCCCCCTGGACCTAGGAAAGAGTTGCCTTCCAGAAGTATGGCAACATTGTACCCCTTTTTAACCCAAGGGGTGTGAAAGCAACTTGGGACTCTGTGGGACACGGAAGTAAAGAGCTATCACATAATAATTTTAATAATAGCT